AGTAATAGTAATAGTAGTAGCAGTAGTAGTAAACATAATTGTAGTAGTCGTAGTGGTAGTAACATTCGTCGTAGTAATTGTAGTACTGGTGCTGGTAGTGGTAGTTATAATACAAAAAAATGTTCAGCGGTGCGGATTCGCGATATTGAAATCTCGCTTGTGAAGAATAGGTATTGTTGATCCCCCCTCACTGGTGCAAGCTGTTTTTTCTCAATCAAACTGTGCCCTTCGACGCCCGCACCCTGTTTTTTGACAGGGAAGGTCTTCGTGTTCAAACTGGGCCCCTGGGCCCCTCGGATTACAAGAACAACGGCTCCCGCCTGAGACCTCCTCCAAATTTACTCAGAACCCCCGCTCCGGACACTTCCTCACAATTTCCTCCGGATCGGTCCTCCCGCCTGAGATTTCTTCGCAATTTACTCAGGGATGGCGCTCCCGCTTAAGACAGCCTCGCAATTGAATCCAGACTTCCTCGCAATCTAATCAAGACCCCCGCTCCCTCCAGAGAACCCCTCACATTTTATTCCGGAGTTGCACTTTCGTTTGTGACCCCATGCAATTTATTCAGAAATCGCGCTTCCGCCGCTCAGGAAGCACGCTTCGCCAAGGACGCCGGCACAATTTACTTCATAATCGTGCCCTCGCCATACTCAGGCATCCCGCTTGAATGTCCCACACGCCCGACCCGCCCGTCAGGCGATCGCCCGCCCGTCGTGGGCGCCCGACCGAGAACTTCAGGAACGGCGCTTTCGCCGAGGACTTCCTCGAACGTTCACGCTCTTACCTTCCTGCTCCTCCTCCCTCTCCCCTCTCCCCCCTCCCTCCTCTCCTCCCTTCTCTCTCCCTCCTCTCTTCGCTCATCCTTTTGCTTCTCTGCCCTATTTCCTCTCCCTCCTCTCCCTCCTCCCTTATCCCTCCCCTCTCCTGCCTCCTCCCTCCCTCTTTCTTGTTTGGTTCCTCTTTCTCTCTCTCTCTTTCTCTCCCCTTTCTCTTTCTCTATTTTTCTCTACCTCTCTTACCTGTCTGTTTTTTGATATCTGTCTCTCTCTCTCTCTCTCTCTCTCTCTTTCTCTGTCTCTAATCAACCGCCCCCCTCTTCGCTCCTTCTCTCCTGGCGTTTTCCCTCTTCCTCCGTCCCTCCCCCTCCCTTCCTCCCGCTCTTCCTCGTTCTCCCCCTCCTCTTTTTGCAAGGCCCACACCAGTTCCACTGGCGGGCACACGTACGCCCACGAAGGATTGTCCGCTCGTTCAGGTTTGCCCGCTTGTCTAAGCCCGCCGCCCCCGCAAAGAGAAAGAACCCCCCCAAAGGGGGTGTGATCGGAGACAAAAAGAGCGGGTATCGAGGGTGTGGGGAACTCGTTTTGAATGACACACGGGCAAATAAGAGCGAACAATATTATAATGATTGTTGCTTTTGATGTTGTTGATGAATTGTTGTTGTTGCTGTGTTGTTGTGTATTGTCGTCGTCCCTCCCGCGATTCAACCCGCAACCCACCCGCAACACACCGCGACCAACCCCGCGACCTACCCGAGACCCAACCGCGACCCACCCCGCGACCCGCCCGCGATCCACACGCGGCTCACCCGCGACCCACCCCGCGACCCACCCGGGACCCACCCCGCGACCCACCCGCGCGCCTACACGCAACCCACCCACATTGCTTCAACGAAAAAAGAAAAACGGCGCCTGCGGCGGGCTCACTGCATAATTTGTGAAAGCGAGGCGCCTGCGGCGGGCTCAGAACCTCGCACACTGCCGACTTCCTCGCCGCCCTCCCTCTCTTACCCGCAACTGCGGGGTGCTACGTACACTTGGTTCATGAAAACGGTCCACGCCACAAGCGCTTTCCGTCATCCGCCGCCGTGCCTCTCGGCACGGAGTGGGCGTGTCACCTGGTCCATCTGCCGAATTCTCGAATTTTCAATCCTTACTCCTGAACGGTCCCTAGGAGAGGCCCGGACCCCTCGGGGATCTTCTGACCCGGGTCAATCCAGACCCGGGTCAGCAGGAAACCAAAAACTGCAATGCAGGGAAAAAACAACTGCAACGCAGGTCCTCGCAAGCCCGGGTCAGCCAATATGTGCGGCCGCCTCGCGGCCACGAGCGGCTCCCAGACCCGGGTCAGCCAGAGGGGGTCTTCGGAGGATCCTGCAGGATCTGGCGCCCTGGCTGACCCCCGTTTGCATTGACCCCCGTCTCGAGGCGCCCGGACCCCGAATTGCCAGATTTCTCCGGGCTCGTCGCGTGCCCCTTGGGGCTCGTCGCGTCTCCCCGCAGGACGTCTTCAGGCCCAAGGGGGGCCCAGGACGGCCCAAGTGGGCCCCAAGAGGCCGCCAGGACGGTCCAATAGGGCTCCGGGTCGCCGAAAGATCGCCCCAGGACGCCCGAGATGGCCCCAAGACGGCCCAAGAGGCCGCCAAGACGCCCCGAGAGGCCTCCAAGAGGGCCCCGAAAGGCCAAAATCATTGATTGTCTTTCGGTTTGCAAAAGATTTGGGCGTTCTCGCCTTTTCGGATTCCCGATGCTCCAAAACTGCCCAGGAGGCCTCCACGATCGCCCCAAGGCGGCCCCAGAGTCCACTAAGAGGGCCCCAAGACAGCTCAAGAGGGCCCCAAGACGGCCCAAGAGGCACCTAAGAGGGTTCAAAAAGGGGTCCCAGATGGGGAGCCCGACCGGACATTTCGAACCCTCGGCCCCGAGAGGCCCCTAGGAGGCCCCAAGAACTCCCAAGAGGCACCCAAGAGGCCCCAAGGAGGCCCCTAAGAAACCCCAGGAGGCCCCCAAGAGGCCCCCAAGAGGCTCAAGAGGCCCCCGAAGGCGCTTCTATGAAAACTCTAACCCAGAACCCTGGCACGGTGGCGGAATTGGACACAGGCCATTCGATAATAGTAGTCGTCGTAAAGAAACAACAAACGTGTAAATCAGAACGAGGGGGCCGAACGGTCATTCACTGTCCCTGGGTGCGTGGCTGAAAAGGGGTTCCGCGCTGGAGATTGTTCTTGCGTTGTTGTTTCTTGTTGCCCTGTTGCCGTGTCACTCCCGACCCGGCCCGCGACCCATCCGCAACCCGTCCTCGACCCACCCGCGACTCACCCCCGACCCACCCGCGACCCACCAACGACACACCAACGACCTACCCGCGACCCTCTCGCGTCCCGACCGCGAACCGCCTGCGACCCGCCGGTGACCCACCCGCGACCCACCCCGCGCCTGCTCCTTCATTCCTATCCGCCACTGCGGGATGCTACAGAAGGGTAATACATATCGCAATAGCGTTTGAAAATGCGGTAGCAACGTCAGCATTTGCCAATCCACCGCAACACCTCGCGAATAACAGAGCACACGTGCAAACCTTTAAACATGGCAGGCAGAGGGATGGGGTGGTGGGGCGATGAACAAAAAGACAGAACATGGGACGATATGACAAGACGAGGCCGGGAGGGATGCCGACTATGGCAGGTCCCCGCCCTCCGCGGCAATGCCGCAGGGGATGGATGTCCAGGCAGAGGTTTGTGATCGGGTGGGTGGGCGTACAGTCGGACCTAGGACAGAAAAACATCCTTCAAGAACATGGGACCCTCCGCCAGACCAAACAGAAGAACGTTCGAGGGTGCCCTGCCCTAGGATGCAGAAGAACCCCAACAAACACGACGAACGTTAGGGCACCCTCCCCGAACCTGCCTCGATCTTATGCCGCGGTCCAGCTGTACAAGCAGCAGTGATGGGCCGAAGGGGCAAGGATGCAAGGGTAGCCTTGGAAAGCTGCTCATCCTTACTATGCGCGTTGACTATAACAGCCATAGGAGGTGCCAGCCTCCTCCTGGGTATCTGGCGTCAACGGCCCGCCACTGTTTTGAACCAGCAGGCGGGAAGGAGGTAGAAAATGTGGAAGTGCAGAAGAAAAGCGGGAATGAGAATGATTAGAAAGAAGAGTAAGAGCAGAAGGAGGACAAGCGAGAGCCAGGAGACACAGAAATAGGACAATTAGGGCGAGGAGACGGAAGAGGAAAGTGGGGAGGATGCAGGGGGAGGAAAAGCAGGGAGCAGGGGAAGAAGGCATAAGGGTGGAGGAGGACGTTTAGGCGGCAGGACACGAAGCAAGGTATGTGAACACAGGAATCACGATAAGGAATGCGGTTCGACAAGCAGGCTGGAAAATGAGAGGATGCGCGAGGGACGAACGGGGGAAGGAAGTGTAGGGATCCTTCTCCTTCACTGCATCAGGACCCACTACCCCCATCCTTCTCCTTCGCCTGCGCATGCTCTCTCCTCTTCCGCCTCGTTGAACCTCCCTCCTCATCCTCCCCCTTTCGTCTCACGTCCCGCTCCTCCTCCTCCTCCTCCTCCTCATCCTCCCCCTGATCAGCATGTTCTCTCATCTGTCATCCTTCTCCCCATTCTACTCCCCGGACCTTGCTCATGCTCGTGCTGCTGCCTCCTGCTTCTGCTGCTGCTGCTCCTCCTTCTGCTCTTCCTCCACTTAAGACGAGGAAGAAAAGGAGGAGGAGGAGGATCACTAGCAGCAGCCCCAGGATGGAGGATGGAGGATGGAGACAGGATATGGCCTGTTGGCGGGGCCTAGGTGTCCATCGTCAGGGGTGACCTCCCCCTCCTCATCATCATTATCATCCTTGTCCCCGTCCTCTCCTTCCTCCTGTTCATCCTGCATTGTCATCCAGGATCATCCTCCGTCCCCTCAACATAGTATGCCTCCTCATCCTCTGGCTCCTTTTCCCCTACTTGTCATCTTCCTCCTCCTCCTTCCCCCCCCTCATCCACCCTTCTCTCCTCCAAATCCCGCCCCCTGTCTTCACCCCTCCTCCGCCTCCGCCCATCTTCCTACTCCTCGTTCTCCCCCCCTCCTCCTCCTCCTCCTCCTCTTCCTCCTCATCCTCCTCCTCCTCATCCCCCTCCTCTCCTCATCGCCTTCTCCTCCTCCTCCTTCTCCTCCTCCGACTCCTCCTCATCCTTTCTTCCTCGTTCTTCTCCAAGCGGCGCCTCGTACGCCAGTGTGGAGCCCATCTTCGTCCTGCTCACCAGCTCGGCGACTTGGTTGCCTGAACCAGCCCACCGCGTTGCTTGAGCATGCCCCCCTCCTCCTCGTGCTCGTCGTCGTCGACGTCGCATTCCTCCTCTTCCTACTCCTCCTCCTACTCCTCATCTTGCTTCCGCTCCGTCTTCATCTTCCTGCTCCGCGTCATCGTCTTCCCCGTCCTACTTCGCCTTGTAGTTTGCAAGGGGCTCTTGCGACAGCACGCGCGCAAGGGCGTTCGAACGATTTCGACACGCGCAATCGAGAGGCACGTGTGGTAGTATGTGATGAGAATGTTCAACAACATGTTTGTAAATATGCAAGAGCGCGAAGGAACTTTATCCATATAGAAAACTCGTGTTGGGAAGCCAAATGTTGTAGATGCTGGTTTCGGGACACTCGACCCGGAAATCCCTACGAAACCAAAGGTCTGGTAAGGATTCCGACATGCGCGCGACGACGCGCGCGTGTGCAATTCGTCCCATGTGTTGCAATAGATTGTTGACAATAAACGATGCTTGATAAACGAGTGTGGGCGCATCGCTTTTCGCACGTGTTGCAAAGATCGCGGGGGTGAGGATACAGGCCTGTCTGGGATGGAATGAATTCAAATTCAGAGTGGACAGCGGGACAGAATCGCATGCAAATTGCAATACTAAAAGGGGGGCCATTAAGTCGGATGGGGTGTAGATCCGATTGCTTTCGTAGGAAGCAAGGTATAGGTGGTGAAATCTATATGGTACGCAATATGTGTTGTGCAGCCTATGTGGTGTGCAATCTGTATGGGCGGCGACGAGGCGGCGACGGCGACGGAGCGGCGACGGCGGCCGCATAGCCGCCATACCGAAAATACAGCCCGGACGACGGGCGGCGACGAGGCGGTGACGGCAGCCACGCGGCCGCCAGACCGAAGACACGGCCCAGTTCCTTAGAACAGAAGTAAGGCACCCCAGAGTGCCTGCACTGTTTGGGCACATACATCTCAAGAGTTACACGAGTTGAACTTGAAAAACTACAGAGAAGACTTGGGCACTCTCACGCACACACACACACACACGCGCGCATGTACATGACCATACATGCGTGCACATCTGCAATTTCATATACGTGTGTATGTGCGGATGTGCATGCATGCAGAGATGTATACGAAGGGCTAAGGGGGTTAATACTATATCTACGAAGGAGGGCGAGAGGAGGCTGAGAGAGAACAAGAGAGAAAGAGAGAGATGCACAAACATTTATGTACGAACACATGTTGAGACATATCCAGACGCACGCAAGTAGTGTATATATACATATGAAGTCGAAAGAGAGCGATAGAGAGAGGGAGAGAGGGAGCGAGAGAGAGAGGAAACACAACAACGTAATCGCAACAATGGAAACTAGTGAAACACACACGCAAACACACACAAACCGACGGTCCTCGTCCACCTCCCTCCCCTCACCTAAACATCATCACTCCTCCGTGCTCCAACCCCTCGTCCGCGAAGCCGCCGTTGTCTCAGCTGGTGAGCCTGGTCCCCTCTGAGCGCTGACCCCCCCTCCCGCCGTACTTGCCGTGCTCCTTTGCGAGTAGGGCTCGCCTTCCCGCCTCCTCTTCGTCTTCGGGCTCCATAAGCCTCTTCTGCAGGTCCCCATCGTAACCTGCGAAGAGGAAGAACGCGGGGAGGAGCGGGCAAGGAGAAAGGGGGGTTGGGGACAGCCGGAGGGGGAGGAGGCAATGGAAGAGACGGGGATGATGGAGGAAGGGAATAAGGGAGGTGGAGAATGAGACGCAGACACAAAGAGTGGTAGACAGGCGGAAAATGATGAAATAGAGAAGAAGAGGACTAGGAGTAGTCAGGAGGGATACAGAGGAAGAGGGGGTAGAAGAGGGGATAAAGGAGGAAGCGTGGGGAATTAATGCCGAACACGTTAGGTGAAACATATTCGAACGTGCTCAAAATAAGCGCTTACACCATCTTCTCCCGAATTTATTGGGGAGCCGTTCTTGAAGCAAACCAGGCAGGACTAGGATGAGAATCAGGGTACAAGATAGGGACGATGAAGGAGGAAGAAAAGGATGATAAGACAGATGACGTATCATGGGGGAGGGGAATGACAGAAGGACGGAATAGGATGACGGTAGTGAGGATGACGCAGGGAGACAGGGAGGGAGGAAAGAAAGAATGAGCGAGCCCGAGAAGGGATGCTGAAGGAAGAGGGTGGCGGGGAGGAGGAGATCGACATCAACGGGCGAGGCCGCGGGAACCGTTCTTGAACCGGTCGGTGATGTACACGAACGGGGAGGTGCTGAAGAACGGCCCCAACGCTTTCAGGTGGTCCTCCGGGCCCAGCTGGCGATCTTCTCCCTCGCCATCCCCCGCCACAATGGGCTACGGCAGGTTCGTTTCGTGAAGACTTCTGCGTTGGTTTCTGATATCGCGCGGATGGTTCAACCTTGAGCGATCGGCAGCAATTCAACAGACAGAGCGTTCCATATGTTACGATTCTGGGCCACTGGCGGCGTTCATCCAGGAACGCCCGCGCTGGACTCGCTGCCGCGCCGACACGACGTGGACCCACCTCAGACAGCCAGCGCTCCAATGGGCCCCCAGAGGTCTGGACCACTTCCCTGGCGCCTGTATTTCGTCCTGAGGACCAGGGACCCCGGGGAGGGCCCCGGTGGGCCAAAATACGGCCAACGAAAACGGCTGCTCCAATGTTTGTCCGGGCCTCGGACCTCTGAGGGCCGTGCAGGAGCGAGGGGCTGCGCGGCAGCGCCGGGAGGGATCTGGGGCCAGCTGCCGGGGGTAGGTCGGGCAAGGGTCTCCTGGCATCCCCCCCCCCCTTCTGCGGGCGCTGAACGACTGTCCCGTGCGGCTGCTTCGCGGTTGTCGCATGGCTGTCTCTAGTTGTCCCGCGGTCTGCGTGCGATTGCAAGCACGTGATATGTGAACGACGAGAAGAAAATATCGTAGGTTGGGATGGCATAGCGACCTCACGTTTCACGCGGTGGCCTACGCAGGCACCCAGCGCGTCACGCCACATTGGAAACGGAGGCGGTTCTCCTCGAACTCACGAGGACAACTTACGCGCCCGCGACGCTCAGGAATCGCGTTCCCGTTCTGACGTATGTTTGCGATGTACTGGCAATCGCGCTATCGTCCGAAACCTCCTCGCAATTCATGCAATCCCCACGCTTCAGCAACCCGCCTGCTCGACCTGGCCGCTTGGGCCCGCATTCCCGACACGCCCGTTGGGGCCAACCTGCCCGATGAACCCGTCTGGTTCCGCCACATGCTTTCTGGTCGTAAACCCCTCCTGCTGACGCCTTATGTGTTCCATTCGTGTCCCGCCCCCACACGCCCTCGCTTCCGAGTTTTAGGGGCTGCGCCAATTACGCGTAGCAGGTGAGAAAGACATCCCCCGAAGGAGGAAACATCGAATACGAAGACGGCGGGTATCGAGCGATTGGGGTATACGTGTTGGGTGGCATGCGAGCAGGCTAAAGCGTACAACCTTGACATTGGCGGTATTGATGTGGAACCCCGAATGCAAAAAAATGCTACTGTTGGCCACCCTGAATACACTGTGGCGTTCTTGCCGAGGCGCCGGCTGCTTTTCCTCTGAAAAATAGGTTCGCGTTCGGGCGCTTCGGGGTTCCACCCAACCCCCCCCAAACAACGACAACAACACCACCAACAACAACAACAACAACAATCGTCATTATAAGACTGTTCGGCCTTACTTACCCGTGTGTCATTCAAAACGGGTTCCCCACACCCTCGATACACGCCCTTTCTGTCTTCGATCGCACCCCCTTTGGGGAGATTATCTCTTTTTGCGGGGGGCGGCGGGCTTAGACAGGCGGGCAAACCTGAATGGGCGGACAATCCTTCGTGGGCGTACATGTGCTCGCCATTGGAACTGGTGTGGGCCCTGCAAACAGAGGAGGGGGAGAACGAGGGGTAGTGGGAGGAAAGGAGGGGGAGGGACGAAGGAGAAGGGAAAACGCCTGGAGAGAAGAAGCACAGAGGGGGGCGGTTGATTATTTGCAGAGAGAGAGAGAGAGAGAGAGAGAAAAAAAAAAAAAAGAGTGAGAGAGACACACAAAAAAAACATGTAAGAGAGGTAGACAGAGAGAGAGAGAGTTTTTTGACATCCACTGCCATGGGCCCGTCAGGCGGGCTGTTGGATCGGAGTTTAAAGGACTCCAATGCCGTCCACATCCACTGTGACCCCAGGCCTTTTGGGATGGAGTCCTTTGCAGAGTCTGGACCAGAGTTCTTCCCTGCGCGAGTTGTGAGAGGCCCAGCTCTTTACAGAAGGGCCTCTATCAACTCGCGCAGGAGGGAGGGCCGAGGGACAGGCCTGACAAGGGTCCCCCAAGCCACGCAGCTGTCCACCGGTGGTGTGAAAGAAGCACAGCTGACAAAAACAAGGAAAACTGCCATCGCTGCAGTCTGCAACGATGCATCTGTGGCCAAGATCTCGCAAGCGCTGGGGCGAGACCTTCAACCGAAGAGAGCATTTACCAGACGGCGGCCTGGAAGAGGAGCGAGAACTCTTCAGGCACTCACTACACTGCCAGAACTTGCCAACCCAACCCCAGGAGTGCCCGGGAGGCTGGTCCCTTGGAAGACCTATGGGCGAAGGACGCTCCCACGGGGCCCCGTCAAGGTTGGTTCGGGGCCAGCGGCCCAGGAGATGGGCGGCAAGCTTGGCGACAGCCTTTGAAACTTGCACAGAAAAATTGATAGCATCAGCAAGTTGCGACGGTAGAGAGGGGTGGAGCTGCGCACCTGCTTTGGCCGCTTCGTCGGCCAGAATCTTGCCACGAATTAGGAGATGAGCATCCCAGTCGAGGCTGGGATCTTCAATGAGGTGGACCTTCACTTTGGAGACCCTCTCGATATGCTTGGCTGCGCTGGCACGAGTCTGCAGCACGAGCCCACTGCAGGGCCTTTTCGGAGATAGCTGCTGGCACAGCGGCAAGGAAAAATGATCTACTACTGCTTTGCAATCGGATATCAGCTCCGACGGACCTGCAAGAATCAACGCAGTGGCGGCGGGCGCGACATATTCTGCAGAAGCACCGGTCTACGGATACACATAAGGCACTGCGCCGTACATTCTAACAAGGATATGTCCGAGGGGGCTGAGACAAATGGTGCCCCACCCCGATCTAGACAGGTCTCGAACTGCATGCGGGAAATGCGAGCCATCCAGGAAGGTCTTACTTCGAATCTCTTTTAAAGCCCCTGGGCCTATAGCTGGCGGGGGGGAGCCCCGCAGCCTCATAGGCATCTGGAAAAACTTCGACGAAAACCTTGTCCTGCGATTCCTGGACCGACAGGGGGGGATAGGGCCTCGGAGGACGGGTGAGTGAACAGACCCGTTTCGCACAGGACTCTGAAACCAGGGACCGTTTCAGCCACGAGCTCCCTGCGGAGACGTGACAGCAAGGCTGGCTTAACCAGCTCCGACCGATCGTCCTCGCAGGCTGGACAGTGCCACAAGCGGTGAAGGGCGGTGTCGCCGTCGGCACCGCACAGGACGCACCGATCCACAGCATCGTATCCGAGGAGCTTAGCACGATTGAAAGGCCAGAGGCCCTGGCAGGCCAGGGTGCGTACGCATCCCTTTTGTTTGGGCGAAAAACGTTTGGAATTCAACGAAGTGCACAACACATCGAAGCACAACCTGGAGCCGTTGCCGTACTCGCAACCGGCCTCATTTTCGAGGGCCCGAACAATTGCACCTTTACATAAACGCTGGAGGAGAGCTGGAGAAATGAGAAGGACAGGTAAGTCCACTCCACGGTCGTCAGTGATAGCGTAAGGGTCCCTCATAATCCATCCCATTCTAGCCACCGATAGAAACATGGCCCCGATGGGCCCCATACACAGATCTCCAGGTCCGAGGGGGGGTGTTCCATACTGATTGCCACGCCGACCGAAGCTGAGCCCAGGATAAAGCATAATCTGACATACGCGTGTGTAACATCCACAATTCTTTCTGGTAGTGCAGAAGGGGAGCGACCGCTCCGTACCGTGCTGGATCCCCTGCCACCCTCGTGAACATACACAGCGATCGGCACCCGCACGATGGCGTCATGACTGCTGCTGCAAGACGCCTGGCATGAAGCAGCTCGGCGTCCGACATGCCGTGCACGTCGCTGCCGTAGCTCAACGCTGGAAGGGCTCCAGAACAGAAAACCTTGATCGTTGCTCTGCCGAGGGTGCCTCGCTGTCTAGCCAGTCTTCGAGTACGACGTGTAGCCGAGAGAAGACGCGCCTTACCCTTCGAATTCCGTCCTCTGGTACGGCGGCTGGCACCTGCAGTATGATCGATGCCGAGATTGACAAAACTCTCGATGTGGGGGCCCACGAGATCTCCGAAGGCCTGCTGGAGCCTGGAGGAGATGACCTTACTGCTGGCAACCATACCTACCTTGTCTAACGCAATGTGAGCTTTCATCATGCTAGTGATGGCAAACACCATCTGGCTGCCAGCCCTGACCATGTCAGGCACAAGAGAAGAGAGTCTGCCAACTCCATCGATGCTGATGTCATCGATGTACACATCGAACGAAACCGAGGGCGGGATCGCAACAGCGTCGAAAGCTTCGATACCGAAGACGCGTATCAGCGTCGTGGCCATGGAACATCCAGCCACAAGGCCAGTGTTGGCGAACACCTCAGGAGCAACAGCACCACTGAGAACGAGGTATCGACACGATCGGTAGAGAGAGAGAGAGGGGAACGAGAGAGAGAGAGAGAGAGCAAAACAAAAAAAGAGGGAGGGAGGAAGCAGGAGAGGGGAGGGAGAAGGGAGGAGGGGGAGGAGGGAGAGGGGATAGGGCAGAGAGGCAGACGGATGAGAGAAGAGAGGAGGGAGAGAGAAGGGAGGAGAGGAGGGAGGAGGGAGAGGGAGGAGGAGTAGGAAGGTAAGCGCGTGAACGTTCGAGGAAGTCCTAAGCGAAAACGCCGTTCCTGAAGGAAATCTCGGGCGGGAGCCCACGACTGGCGGGCGATCCCCTGACGGGCGAGTCGGGCGGGTGGGACATTCAACCGGGATGCCTGAGTATGGCGAAAGAGCGATTACTAAGTAACTTGAAGCGGCGTCCTTGGCGAGGCGTGTTTCCTGAGCGTCGCAAGCGCGATTTCTGAATGAATTGCATAGACATCGCAAGCGAGAGCGCAATTCCTGAATAACATGTGAGGGGTTCTGTGGCGTGAGCGGGGGTCTTGATTAAATTGCAAGGGGGTCTTGACTCAATTGTGAGGAAGTCTCAAGCGGGAGCGCCGTTCCTGAGTAAAGTGTAAAGAAGTCTTAGATG